TCTGAATAAGTCTGGAAGTGTGCCTGGCCCTACAACTTAGCATCAGCACAGACTGAATCTCAACCACCCCCCAATTACTGAAGAACAGAAGAGAGAAGAGTTTGCAATACATACATGCATGTTGCTTCTGGCTAAATACGTATGAAAGCCATTTCAAACATTGTCCAGGGTCAACAGTGGGCTCAAATCACAATCAAGTCTATAAGGAGCTGATACTTATTAATATCATTTTAAAGTGTGTTTTAAATCGGAGGCAGCTTCTTCTTACGGAGCTGAGATTTGTTTCGACAGACCAAACAAAATCCATTTTCTTCTAAATGAACGGAGACGGAGGAAACAGCAGGCATACCTAGTCCTCCTATTTCATAGATATCTCTTTCATATACATCTATATAAAAAAAATAAATTTAATATTCTGTACAAAACCACGGCATTTAATCTCCCTTACAAGACCCGGTACATAAATGGATGGAAAAAGAGCTTCAGAGTTTATTTTCTACAGATGGCTTCTTGCTTTCTTGGCCCAATTTCGCTTCTCCTCTTGAATTTCTTTTTCAAATTCTTCTCTTTCCCTGAAGGATTTAAAAAAAAGTTGCAAGCAAACAAAACAAACCTCTAGCAATGGGGAGGCTGAAACCCTGAGATTTTGTTCCTTTTTCTTTTTAAAGAATAGAACTCAAGACCAACTGTGTTCCCTTCAGCCATAAATGCTGAACTTCACATTTTATTTGTTACAGCGAGGGGGGGGAAAAGTATTTGACCCTCTGCTGATTTTGTACATTTGCCCACTGACAAAGAAATGATCAGTCTATAATTTTAATGGTAGGTTTATCCTAACAGTGAGAGACAGAATAACAACAACAAAAATCCAGAAAAACGCATTTCAAAAAAGTTATAAATTGATTTGCATTTTAATGAGTGAAATAAGTACATGACCCCTTCGCAAAACATGACTTAGTATTTGGTGGCAAAACCCTTGTTGGCAATCACAGAGGTCAGGCGTTTCTTGAGGTTGGCCACCAGGGTTTGCACATATCTCAGGAGGGATTTTGTCCCACTTCTCTTTGCAGATCCTCTCCAAGTCATTAAGGTTTCGAGGCTGACGTTGGGCAGCTCGAACTTTCAGCTCCCTCCAGAGATTTTCTATGGGATTAAGGTCTGGAGACTGGCTAGGCCACTCCAGGACATTAATGTGGTTCTTCTTGAGCCACTCCTTTGTTGCCTTGGCCGTGTGTTTTGGGTCACTGCCATGCTGGAATATCCATCCACGACCCATTTTCAATGCCCTGGCTGAGGGAACGAGGTTCTCACCCAAGATTTGACGGTACATGGCCCCGTCCATCGCCCCTTTGATGCGGTGAAGTTGTCCTGTCCCCTTAGCAGAAAAAACACCCCCAAAGCATAATGTTTCCACCTCCATGTTTGACGGTGGGGATGGTGTTCTTGGGGTCACAGGCATCATTCCTCCTCCTCCTAACACGGTGAGTTGATGCCAAAGAGCTAGATTTTGGTCTCCTCTGACCACATTTTCACCCAGTTCTCCTCTGAATCATTCAGATGTTCATTGACAAACTTCAGACGGGTCTATACATGTGCTTTCTTGAGCAGGGGGACCTTGCGGGCGCTGCAGGATTTCAGTCCTTCACGGCGTAGTGTGTTACCAATTGTTTTCTTGGTGACTTTGGTCCCAGCTGCCTTGAACTCATTGACAAGATCCTCCCATGTAGTTCTGGGCTGATTCCTCACTGTTCTCATGATCATTGCAACTCCACCAGGTGAGATCTTGCATGGAGCCCCAGACCGAGGGAGACTGACAGTTATTTTGCGTTTCTTCCATTTGCGAATAATCGCACCAACTGCTGTCACCTTCTCACCCAGCTGCTTGGCGATAGTCTTGTAGCCCATTCCAGCCTTGTGTAGGTCTACAATCTTGTCCCTGACATCCTTGGACAGCTCTTTGGTCTTGACCATGGTGGAAAGTTTGGAATCTGATTGATTGATTGATTGATTGATTGCTTCTGTGAACCGGTGTCTCTAATACAAGTAACAAGCTGAGATTAGGAGTGCTCCTTTTAAGAGAGTGCTCTTAATCTCAGCTCATTACCTATATAAAAGACACCTGGGAGCCAGATATCTTGCTGATTCATAAGAGATCAAATACTTATTTCATTCATTAAAATGCAAATCAACTTATAACTTTTTTGAAATGCGTTTTTCTGGATTTTTTTGTTGTTATTCTGTCTCTCACTGTTGAAGTAAACCTACCGTTAAATTTTTAGACTGATCATTTCTTTGTCAGTGGGCAAACGTACAAAATCAGCAGGGGATCAAATACTTTCCCCCCCTCACTGTACATTGTCAACAAGGTTATATAAGAAGTCGTCAACTTATGACCACAATTGGGACCAGAATATCTGTCGCTGATCAGAGTGGTTGTTAAATGAGTCACGCCCAATTTTGCAACATTTTTGCCACTGTTGTTAAGCAAATTGCTGCAGTTGTTAAGCAAATCATGTGGTGGTTATGTGAATCATGTGGTCATTAAACGAATCCGGCTTCCCCCCATTGACTGCTTGTCAGAAGCTGTCTGGGAGGTGGAAAATGGCAATCACATGACCTCACGACGTTGCAGCCATCGTAAATACATGCCAGTTGCCAAGGGCTTGAATTTGGATCAAGTTACCATAGAGATGATGCGATGGTCATAAGTGGGGGAACCAGTTGTAAGCCGATTTTTTTTCAGTGGCATTGTAATTTCAAACAGTCACTAACCAAATAGTTGCAAGCAAATAAAACCTGTAGTTTTATTGTTGTTCCAAGTAATGTTTCTGAAATGGCCAAATATTTTTTTTTTATGGAGCAGGACTATAATGCCATAAGCAAAGGGTAGCTGTCTTAGGGCAGTTTATTAAATCGGTGCGATGAATCTGGCTCCCCCACTGACTCTGCTTGTCAGAAGGTCGCAAAAGGTGATCACACGATCCTGGGACACTGCAACCGTCATCAATATGAGTCAGTTGCCAGGCGTCTGAATTTTGATCACATGACCATGGGGATGCCACAGTGGTCATTAAGGATGAAAAACGGCCATAAGTCACTTTTTCCAGTGCTGTTGTAACTTTTAAAAGCCATTAAATGAACGGTTGTAAGTCGAGGACTACCTGTAGTGTACTGGCTTGAAGGCACTCCTTTTGGGTGGGAGCCTATGCTCTCCAAGACGTGGCTTCTCTAATTACTGCTGGCCCTTTGCTAGATCAGGGGTCCTCAACCTTGGCAACTTTAAGACTTGTGGACTTCAACTCCCAGAATTCCTCAGCTTTGAGGACCCCTGCGCTAGATGGTTGGACCAATTTTGCTTTTGAAATCTTAGCAGGAAGACTGGCATTTTTTGTGAGTCTGAGATTTGTGGGTGGATGAATCATCATCATCATCATCATCATCATCATCATCATCATCATCATCATCATCATCATCATCCCAGGTCCTTGGGAAGGACTCAATAGGTAGACAAAATGCCAAATCCAGTCTGAACATCTGACCGGCTATGCGATGATCCATAATAATAATAATAATAATAATAATAATAATAATAATAATAATAATAATAATAATAATAATAATAATAATAATAATAATAATAATAATAATAATAATAATAATAATAATTTAAAAAAAGAGTTGGAAGGGACCTTGGAGGTCTTCTAGTCCAACCCCCTGCTCAGGCAGGAAACCCTATATCATTTCAGACAAATGGTTGTCCAGTCTCTTCTTAAAAACTTCCAGTTTTGGAGCATTCACCGCTTCTGGAGGCAGGTTATTCCACTGGTTAATTGTTCTAACTGTCAGGAAATTTCTCCTTAGTTCTAGGTTGCTTCTCTCCTTGATTAGTTTCCCTCCGTTGCTTCTTGTTCCTTATATGTTTTAGCCTCCAGCCCCCTGATTATCTTTGTTGCTCTTCTCTGCACTCTTTCTAGAGTCTCAACATCTTTTCTACATCGTGGTGACCAAAACTGGATGCAGTATTCCAAGTGTGGTCTTCCCAAGGCATTGTAAAGTGGTATTAATATTTCACGTGATCTTGATTCTATCCCTCTGTTAATGCAGCCTAGCAGTGTGTTGGCTTTTTTGGAAGCTGCAGCACAGGGCTGGCTCACATTTAAGTGCTTGTCCAAGATCCCTCTCACAGTTACTACTGTTGAGCAAGATACCCCCTATGCTGTACCTGTGCATTTGGTTTTTCTTGCCTAAATGTAGAACCTTACTTTTTTCACCACTGAATTTCATTTTGTTAGATAGTGCCATTGCACTTCATATATGTCCAGAATCTACTGATGTGGGTGAGATGTATAAAATATATATCCAGGAGAGGTAGTTTGGTGTAGTGCTTAAAGAAGCAGTCTAGAAACTCAGAAGCAAAGAGTTCTAATTCTGCCTTAGGTACAAAGACAACTGGGGGGCTTTGGGCCAATGTCAGACCTAAGAGCAAGCAATGGCAAACCACTGGCAAATCTGAGATTCAGGGAAGGAAGGAAGGAAGGAAGGAAGGAAGGAAGGAAGGAAGGAAGGAAGGAAGGAAGGAAGGAAGGAAGGAAGGTTCACAAACACAGACACACAGACATAATTCCAGAATTCCTGGCAACCATCTTCATACTGTTTGGAAATTCTGGGAATGGCAATCCCAACATGCCTAGAAGCACCAGGTGTGGGATAATTGGAAAACAATGTCACCACTGCATAATGTGACAGGCACACAAGAGACAATGTGAGGTAAGCAGACTTATCGTATGAGGTAGGCAGACTTATATATGGGATGGAGCTCTGAGCAGATACCTTTTGCTCACTGGAGGTCCGTTGATGTATTTTTCTTCTGCTGTCTTGTAGTCAATCTGATCCACAGCAGAAATTGCATAAATGATGGCCTGGAGACAAAAAGAAAAGGGGACAGTTTAGAGCAGGGATCCTCAAGCTTGGCAACTTTAAGACTTGTGGACTTCAACTCCCAGAATTCCTCAGCCAGCTTTGCTGGCTGAGGAATTCTGGGAGTTGAAGTCCACAAGGCTTAAAGTTGCCAAGCTTGGAGACCCATGGTTTAGAGCAGCGTTTCTCAACCTTGGTCTTCCTTTTTAAGATGTGTTGTCTTCAGTTTCCAGAATTCCACACCTCTTAACGTGGCCAAGGCTGAGAAACATTGGTTTAGAGCAGGGGTGTCAAACTCAATTTCATTGAGGGCCGCATCAGCATTGCAGTTGCCCTCGGGGGCCGGATGGCTGGGCGTGGCTGGAGTGGCTGTGGCCTACTGGGTGGGCATGACCAGCTCTACATCGTTCGCGTCAAGGGGGCCTGTGGGGGCCTGGGCAGGAGTGGGACAGATCTGAGGGTCTCTGGCAGAAGGGGATGGGACCGGGGCAAGCGCCAAGGCATGGTCCATTTCTTCATTCCTCATAAAGGGTGACACCTCCCCAGCATGCACCCAGGGGGCGGGGCCGACGCGGCAGGGGCTGGTTCCTCGCTGTTTCTAGACGGTCTTGTGGAGCTAAGACTGAATGCATTTCAGCATAGATGGCCACCACAAAATTGTACATTGGCTCCCGGCCGGCCTGGGCCAGGGCCAAGGCAGCAGGGGCTGTTCCCTCACTGTTTCCAGGATGGCTTCGCGGACCACATGAAACCACTTCGCGGGCCGCATCCAGCCCCCGGGCCTTGTGTTTGACATGTCTGGTTTAGAGGTCATTTTGTCAACATGTTCTGAGGAGGAGGAGAGGGGGGGAGGAGGAGGAGGGGGAGAGGGCTCCAACTTAACAATAATAATAATGATAAAGTTGGAAGGGACCTCGGAGGTCATCTAGTCCAACCCCCTGCTCAGGCAGGAAACCCTATACCATTTCGGACAAATGGCTGTCCAGCCTCTTCTTAAAAACTTCCAGTGTTGGCGCATTTACCGCTTCTGGAGGCAGGTTGTTCCACTGGTTCATTGTTCTAACTGTCAGGAAGTTTCTCCTTAGTTCTAGGTTGCTTCTCTCTTTGGTTAGTTTCCACCCGTTGCTTCTTGTCCTGCCTTCAGGCGCTTTGGAGAATAGCTTGACTCCCTCTTCTTTGGGGCAGCCCCTGAGATATTGGAACACTGCTATCATGTCCCCCCTCATCCTTCTCTTCATTAGACTAGACATACCCAATTCCAGCAACCGTTCCTTATATGTTTTAGCCTCCAGTCCCCTAATCATCTTTGTTGCTCTTCTCTGTACTCTTTCTAGAGCAGCGGTTCTCAACCTGTGGGTCGCGACCCTTTTTGGGGTCGCACGAGCCTTTCACAGGGGTCGCCTAAGACCATCGGAAAACACATATTTCCGATGGTCTTAGGCAGGGCTTGTCAACCGCCTTCTCTCCCTCCCCCCCTCTGCTCCACCTCACTTGTTTGTCTCTCAACATCTTTTTTACATCGTGGTGACCAAAACTGGATGCAGTATTCCAAGTGTGGCAGAAGAAAACACTCTCAATTCCTATTTTGGTGTCTCCAAGGATGGCTATGAAAAATTTCTACCTGAATCCTTGGGCGAGCTGAAATATGCCAATCTAGTCACATACAACCAGAGGGGTTGAGTTTCAAAATGGAGGAATGAATGACTCAGGACAAAATCTCTGCTTATCTTCCACATCCTCCACTTCACTTACTTCTGGAAAAAGTACTTCGAGGACAAATTTGGCACTGTCTCTAGTTTTCACCGGCAGCTTCTTGGCTCCAACTTTCTGATACACTTTCTTTAAGTAGTTGAGCACAAGGTCTTGCTGATAATCATCTTCCAGGTAGGTCTCCAGGATCAAGTACCGGGGTGTCTTAAGGGATTTCCTCAGCCAACGCGACTGCTTCTGGCTCTTCAAGATGGAGCGAAGGTGCTCGTCGGCTCCTTTGGCTTTTACGATGAACTCCACGATCCGCTTGTTGTCTCTGTCTCGGGCGGCTCGCGTCCGGTCAGGAAGAATCTTCTTCGTTTGCTTCGGGGGGGTGATCTCGGCGAGAAGCTCCCCACTGTCCAGCACCTCCATTTGAGGGAAGCTCAACTGGGATAAAGTATGGAAGGATTCTTTTCGGACCGGAGAGCCTTGGAAAAGAGAAGCCAGGGTCTTTGAACAGAGTTGGATCAACATCTAAAAATAGGAGTCTCCCAAGTTGGCAGCTTTAAGACTGGTGGACTTCTTCAGCTCCCAGAATTCATGGCTGGCTGGGCGGGTTCTGTGGGTTGAAGTCCGCAAGTCTTAAAAATTGCCAAGTTTGGAGATCCCGGTCTAAAAAGTTGCGAATCCCTATTTCTCTTCCTGTCACACAATCACAGGCGATCCTCGTCTTATAACCTGTCGCTGAACGACTGTTCAAAGTTATGACAGACACATCCCCCCCAAAATTACATATGACATTTCAAGTTATGACAGCTGCAGAGACACATACATACTGCAGCATTTTAATAATAACAATAACAATAACACTAATAATAATAATAGATTATATTGAGAATAAATATGGAACTAAAAAGTTTCATTTGGTTTTTGAGTAAATTACAGATTGTTAATGTAGTTTATTTCTTTTTAATTAGTAATAATGATGTTTAACATGTTTGTTCAGAAGAGAGCTAAAGGATGTTATAGAATTGTTAATTTAAGGGTGATATAATCTAAGATAGAGTATAATTATTGTATTGTTAACCCTGTGTGTGGCTCTGGGAAGTCGGGGGGGGGAGGGAGGGGGGCGGGGAAGGGTGGGTTTTGGGGAGGAGGGGAGTTATATTGTAAAATCTTTAAAAATTTTCAATAAAAAAAAAGATAAATAATAATAAATAACAATAACAATAAATATCAGTAATAGTAATAATAATAATTTCAAACAGACAAGCATCTGCAACATAACACCCTAGACTTAACAATTGTCAATAAGAAAGACAAAAAAGTCTGGATAGTGGACGTGGCAGTGCCTGGAGACAGCAGAATAGACGAGAAAGAACTGGAGAAGATAAGAAAATACAAAGACCTACAAATAGAAATTGCCTTGGGTGCAATCCCAAAACAACTGGAGCACCACTTGAACACCATTGGCATTGACAAATTCACCATTAGTCAATTGCAAAAGGCAGCCTTACTAGGAACCGCTTCCATCCTGCAACGATATCTGTAATAATATCAAACATCCACATCTGCCTATCCCAGGTCCTTGGGAAGGACTCGACAGGTAGACAAAAATGCCAAATTCAGTCTGAACGTCTGGCTGACTGTGCGATGATTAATAATAATAATAATAATAATAATAATAATAATAATAATAATAATAATAATAATAATAATAATAATAAAGTTGGAAGGGACCTTGGAGGTCAACTAGTCCAACCCCTTGCTCAGGCAGGAAACCCTATACCATATCAGACAAATGGCTGTAATTTTGTGCACTTGGTAACTGGCCCATCTTTATGGCTCTTCGCAGGGTCCTATGGTCAAGTAACAAGGATTTCTGATGCTTTTTTGCCAGTTTTCGGCAAAAGCACACCCAGTGGGGAAAATTGATTCCATCAATGATTGTGGCATCCATTTGAAGACCTTAATGTTTGCCACCATAAAAAGTGTAAAAAAATCGGGTCCGGTCACATGATACCTCGACTTAACGACCGCAACAACTTACAATCATAATTCCGGGATCAATGACGGTCATAAGTCGAGGACTACCTGTAACATAGCACCCAGATAACATTCTCAGGATGGTGAGCATCAGAAGTTCAAAGGCTGCCCATACATGGAAGTGCAGAAGGGCTGAGCGCCCATTAGTGACATCAGAGCAGTTTTACAAGAGAAGGAATTCTAAGCTGGCCCTGTTGTCATTAAGCTGCTTTAATTTTGTTATATAATGCAGACCACCCTCTTCCAAACAAGGGAGCTTCTTAAGATACAAAAATGAAGCTTACTCACTCATATCATCAGCACAGTATTCCAGGAAGGATCCCACAAAAGAATGGCAACCTAAGAAGACAGGATGATTGTGTTATCCATTCAGTCATGTCTGACTCTTGGCGATTCTGTGGGTCAGCTCTCTCCATAGTTTCAGATCTTGCACAATTTCTTTGAGTTTTTCTGTGCTCTGGCTGATGTCAGTTTTGATGCTGTCCAAGCGCAGTGTTCTTTGATGGCCTGCTTGCCTTTTACTGCTAACTCTCCCAAACATAATTGCTTTCTCCCATTAACTTCCCCATATGACATGGCCAAAATAAGTGAAACAGTTTTGTGATTCCCCCCATCCCGTGACAAAAAGGGCAAGAAAAATGCTCAAATTGGGGATGGATGACTGTGTGCAAAGGCCTTGCAAGGGGCCCCCGACATTCTAAAACTGACAATCAAACTATAATTTTATTTACTATCACTCGAAGAGAAAATGATTGACTACAGGGCTGGACAATATGTCAAGGTATTGATTTAACAGCTAACCAGCTTATGTAATGTAAGATGTAATGTAATGGTGGCAATGACTCAGCAGGGTCTGTGTCTCTTTAAGAGCCTTTGTATAAAGGGAAGGCTCTGCTGATGTGTTCTCTCTCTTCCGTTTCCTGCTGTAATTGTGGTTTGTTGGATCCTGCTGTATCAGCTCGTGTATGTATATTGTTCCTGGTGTATGATATTGTAGATAGGGTAAGATAAACCACCACTTAATACAAACCGCTGTTTACTGTGTTTACTCCTGGGTTATCTCAGCGCAATAAGACTGTGCACATTCTGACACAATATCGCTTAAATTCAATTTAAATGCAAATCAAGTAAGACTTATTATGTTATTATTAGATTTATATCCCATCTTAATTTTATCAACTCAAAATATCTGAACATTTGCTCAGTGTTGATACAGGCAGTCCTTGACTTACAATGATTTGTTCAGTGACAGTTTGAAGTTACAACAGTGCTGAAAAACGTGGCTTATGACCAGTCCTTGCACTTACAACCACTGCAGCATCCCTACAGTCATGTGATCGAACTGTGGGTGTTTGACAACCGGCCTGTATTTACAGTCGGCTTCTGACAAGCAATGTCAGTGGGGAAAGCCAGATTCGTTGAACGATTGTGTGATTCACTTAACAACCGGGGCAAAAACTTTTTTTTCATAAAATCAGGCGTGACTCACTTAACCACCATCATGCTTAGCAACGAAAATTCTGGCTATAAGTTGAAGACTACCTGTACTTGATCCCGTTCAAAATAACTCCCTGAAAAAGTGATCTGGAAACTTGGGTCAGCGTCCTCTGTAAAGGTCCCCAGATTACCCGAGAACTAATTTTTTTATTAAACTGAAATTCAGGCCACAAATAGCAAAATTGCCCACATCTACTGCAACGTGGTCCTGAAGGTAGGAAAATGCAGACCGATTCCTCTAAGCTTTCAGTACAGGCAGGGAAGTCATCCCGCAGTTTCTGACCTGGAAGTTCCCTAAATTCATTCATCGTTTTTTTTTCCATCTCTGTAACATGGACCATAGGATACAGATAGTCCTTGACTTATCACCAGTTGCTTAGTGACCGTTCAAAGTTCTGATGGACCTACTTGGTTATTTATGGCCCAGATTCAAAATTCCGATGGCTTCCTCCCACTGCAGCCAGGCAACCACATTTTGGGCATTGGGCAACCAGGCCAGATTCATGGCTGTTTGCAGCATCCACGTGACTGGATTTTACGATAAATTTACCCCCAACTGGTGTTTAATTCCACTTTTCAGCAAAACCATGCCTATGGCGACCCATTGGTTTGCTTAATGACCACTACGAAAACGTCTGTGAAATTGTGTTGGTCATGTGACTGACCCGCTTTATGACCTCATTGGGCAGCCTCTATTACAGTCATAACTCGAGGACAATCGGCAGGTCTGCAAAGAAGAGTTAAAGGAGACGATGGGATGGTAACAGAAGAAACTCACGACTACAATTGAGCCCCAAAATCTCCACTGCTAAGCAAGGCAGTTGTTAAATGCCCCATTTTACAATCTTTTTTTGCCACAGTTATTAAGCAAATCACTGCAAATGCTAGGTGAATCACGCGGTCGTTAAGTGAACCTGGCTTCCCCCATTGACTTGGGTGGTTGAAAGCCAGCTGGTTACAAACAGTGATCACATGACTCTGGGACAGTGCAACTGTCATAAATACATGTCAGTTGCCAAGCATCAGAATTTCGATCACCTGACCATGGGGATGCTGCAACGGTTGTAAGCATTGTAACTTCAGTCACTAAGCGAACGGCTGTACGTCGAGAGCTACCTGTAAAGCTAGTCGGAACACTGCAGCCGGATCTCCAGCTGAAAAATGCAGGAAAAAAGTTGACCAAGCCGCGAAAAGACCACCCACTCATTAAATCTAGGGTGGGAATTGAGAGAGCGATCCTTGGGCCTTTCCATCTTACCTACTCTAATTCTGTAATCCGCAATCAAGCTGATGCACCAGTTGAGTTCGTGGCTATAGTTCGCCCTGGCTTTCTCCTGCGAAGAAGAACAAGAAGTTAGGCAAACAGGCTCTGCTTATAGGAGAGGGCCATGCGGGCTTCCCAGAGCACCGTGGAATTTATTCCCGCAGGCTTTACTCACTATCAGCGCCTGTTTCTCTTGGCAGTCAAAGTGCTTTAGGTTTCGGAGGGAAGTCGAGAACCTGCATGGAGAAGGGAGAGAAAACGATATCTTAGCCTGCCAGAGGAATGATTTTTTTTCCAACCCCCTCCGATATGATTCTAGACCAGGGGTAGGCAACCTCGGCTCTTTTATGACTCATGGACTTCAAGTCCCAGAATAGCTGACTCAGGAATTCTGGGAGTTGAAGTCCATGAGTCATAAAAGAGCCGACTACTCCTGTTCTAGACCAGTGTCTCTCAACCTTAACCATCTTGAGAAGCGTGGACTTCCAAAATGCTGGCTGGGGAATTCTGGGAGTTGAAGTCCATGAGTCATAAAAGAGCTGAGGTTGCCTACCCTTGTTCTAGACCAGTGTCTCTCAACCTTAACCATCTTAAGAGGCATGGACTTCCAGAATGCTGGTTGGGGAATTCTGGGAGTTGAAGTCCACGCTTCTTCAGATGGTCAAGGTTGAGAGGCACTGGGTTAGATTAACATGGGCAGTCTTCCAGTTGGGAAATTCTGGAATTCGTCAGCTCAGTTCCTTCTCCTTTGGTACTAGAATTTGGAGCATGTCTGTGTGTCTGTGTGATCCCAATGGAGATTAATGCTTTATGTTGCTATTTGTTCTGTTTTAATACCTTTTAAGGTCATTTCAGCCCTAGAGACTTATAGCATCCTTACAGCAACTGTTGCTGAAGTCATATCAAGCCTTTCTGCATCGCCAACATTTTGACCTAATGATATTGGCGGTGTTATCGTAACCTTACAATGAAGTAGAGAGCTAGTACTTCTGGGCGTGCTTCGTGTCCCGATTACCTTGCAAAGCTGACATCTATGATAAAACTGAAGATGGCAACGCACACATGCCAACCAGTCCTCAAAGAGATATTCCCAGATGCCTAACCTAGGTAGGTACATAGATAGGGAGATACATATGGAGAGATAGGTATGGAGAGAGGGAGAGAGGGGAGAGGGAGGAAGGGAGGGAGAGGGAGATGGGTATAGCTAGATATGGATAGGTAGATATGGAAGGATAGATAATAGATGGATAGCTAGATAATAGCTAGATATGAATGGATATAGATAGTTATGGATGGATAGATATGAATCGATATAGAGAGACAGAGACAGCCAGATAGTTAAAATGGTAGATAAGGGATAGATATGAATGGATAGACCAGTGATGGCGAACCTTTTAGAGACCGAGTGCCCAAACTGCAAGCCAAAACCCACTTATGTATCGTTGGGTGATGGGTGGGCATGGCCCATTGGGTGGGCGTGGCCCATTGGGTGGGTGTGGCTGCGGTGGTAACGGCAGACTAGGTGGGACTAAAAAGTTCAATCAATTCCAACTTTGCGAGATCTTTTTTTCCCCACGAGAAGTTGAAATTGATTGATTGATTGAACCTTTCTTTTTTTTGTACACGGCGAAGGCCTAAAGCGAAAATATTTTATAAAACCCAGCTGAAGGCCTAGGACTGGGGCGACGGCACGCGTGCCCACAGAGCGGGCTCTGCGTGCCACCTGTGGCACGTGTGCCATAGGTTCGCCACCACGGGGATAGACATATGGATAGATATGGCTAGATAGATATGAATGGATAGACAGAGATGGAGAGATAGATAAAAGGGAGAATATTTGTAGCTCAGGATTGAAATGAGAGGTCCTTGGTGCTCTCTGAGCCTGGTTGTTTTCTTGCAGACATTTCATTACCCAAACTAGGTAACATTATCAGTGCTAGTGACTAGATAGATAGAAATCCTGATCTTGCATTCGAAATCAAATCTACTGCAAACCTGAAGTAGGGTTGCTTAGTCTGTGGGGATGCAGGACCTGTGGGCAAGAGGATGCTGTAGGCAACCCCAGTTTTAACCCCATGTATATCCCCATGTTTGTGAATATAAAGAGGATGATTGCCTATTTCAGTGGTGGCGAACCTATGGCATGGGTGCCAGAGGCGGCACGCAGAGCCCTCTCTGTGGGTACGGGCGCCGTCGCCCCAGTCCTAGGCCTTCAGCTGAGTTTTATAAAACCTTTTCGCTTTAGGCCTCCACTGCCATGTGCAAAAAAAAAAAAAAGGTTCAATCAATCAGTCAATTTCAACTTCTCGTGGGAAAATAAATCTTGCAAAGTTGGAATTGATTGATTGAACTTTTTAGTCCCACCCAGTCTGCTGTTACCACCGCAGCCACGCCCACCCAATGGGCCACACCCAGCCAATGGGCCATACCCACCCGGCACCCGACGATGCATAAGTGGGTTTTGGGTTGCAGTTTGGGCACTCGGTCTCTAAAAGGTTCGCCATCACTGGCCTATTTCCTTCTGGTAAAAAAATCATACACAATTATTTAAAAAAAGATCACTACAATTTCTCATGTGCTCAAGGTATTACCATAAGGCAGTGCTGGCGAACCTATGGCACGGGTGCCAGAGGCGGCACTCACGAGCCCTCTCTGTGGGCACGCACGCCGTCGTCCCAGCCCTGCCACCCCCGTGGCCCCCTCCTCACCAGCAGCCCCCCCGGAGGAGAGTCGCCCCGGGCCCAACTTGCGCAGAGCAGCGCAGCCAAGGACATGGCAGCCAGGCAATGGGGACAAGACTCTGCCCTCGCGCCCCATCGCATACAGATGATGCTGCGGGGCACGGACAGAGGGCGTGGCTGCCATGACGCTGCTGGGCCGCCTGACTGATCTGTTGTGGCGGGCCGTGGAGGTGGTGGGTGGCCCTGTGGGCAGGAGAGGCGGGGCGGGGCAGGGGCGAGGCGGTTTTGGGGCACTCGGTCTCTAAAAGGTTCGCCATCACTGCCATAAGGTACACAGAAACCTAGAGTTGGTCAAGAAGATTCATTCCAAGTCAGGATCCTGAAATATTCCAAGGACCTCATCCTGCTCACACCTGGATTTACTTCCAGGAAGACCAACCTGACTCTGGAACGTTCACTTTTGGAGAAATATGGGAATGTTCCAGAACATGGATGAGTCTGGTTTGACACGTGGATACTACAAACTAGGCCTCCCCATCCATTTCTACGCGTGCCAAATGGGCGGAGCCTTTTTTGGGCTCATCTATTGGGGGGAGGGGAGACCATTTTCTGCAGAAGAAGCAGGGAGCCTTGTTTTGAACAAGGAAATCCAGATAGTCCTCGACTTACAAACATTCGTTTAGTGACAATTTGGAGTTACAAACATGACTTAAGACTGATGTTCACTCTTACGCCCATTGCAGCATCCCCATGTCATGTGATCAAAATTCGGATGCTTGGCAACCGGCCTAGTTTTTATGACGTGGTTTTGGGGTCACGTGACCACCTTTTGTGACCTGCTGACAAGCAAAGCCAATGGGGAAGCCAGATTCGCTTAGCAACCGGGGTTGCTAACTTAACCCCTGTAGTGATTCGCTGAACGACTGTGCCAAGGGGGCTGTAAAATGGGGGCAAAACTCTACCTAGCCACTGTCTCGATTAGCAATGGAAAAATCTGGGGCTCAATTGCGGCCATCCGTCAAGGACTACCTGTGACTCAGCCCTCAGGAGGAGGTGCCAGAAAAGGGCTCACATCAGCCAATGAAACCGAAAGGAAAGGAACGGGAGAGTTCATCACCAGGGAATTAAAATAGCTTTATTTACCCCTTGGTTTTCGTGGCATCCATGCATTTCTCTATGAGGACGACATTGGCTTTCTTAGCTTTCCGATTTACCTTTTTCACCTGCCAGGAGACAAGCAGAACAGCTGAACAGCTCGGAGGGCCACAGCTTTGCAATCAATGCATCTATTCAAAGGGACAAGTACACAGACTGGTTGGCCCGGCTACATCTCTGCAGCTGGCCCTTGGCAGCACATTATGAGCTAATCGGGAGGGCAGCACATTATGAGCTAGATCGGGGCCAGCAACTATGGCCCCTTTACAAAACCTATGCTCTTCAACTCCCAGGAAATTCTGGCAGTTGGACGTCCACAGGTGGTAAAGGGGCCATAGTTACCTACCCCTGAGCTAGATCATCCCACGTGAGCACAATTAATTAAAAGGAGACCAGGGTTTTCCAGGCCTGATCGGGCCGCGGAAGCGTTCTCCGGCCTCAAATCTGGACCACAGCGTCCTGGAAAAGGCCTCTGGAGCCCGGATCCAGCCTCCAGAGGCAGAGGGAAGCGTCCCTCAGCTTCGGCTCCGTTCTCTGTTGCAGAGAACAGAGGCCTAAAGTACCATGAGATCATGCAAGATCAGTAGCATGAGATCTCGGTCCCCTGATCTCACGTGATCTTGCGTTACTTTAGGCCTCCATGCTCTGCGAAGGCCTGGAGCAGCCAAGAAAGCAAAGGATCTTGGTCTTTGCAGGGTGAGTATTGAAGGCCTGGTGCCTAGGGAGACCCGGGCAGAGGTGGGGAGGGAGGGAATAACCAGGGTGAATGTTGCAGAGCCACTGCGGTAACTCGTAAGGGTGAACGACTGCCCTGGCGCTGCAATATTCGTAATTTCGGGACTTGCTCATAAGCACTAGGGGGCGCTCATCACATAACTTTGAACGAGCTCGTAACTCAGGGATTACCTGTAATGTAAAGATATAATCTGGATAAAACTGAAAACTATGGAAACTATTAAGATTTTCTGCTTAAAACAATATTGACAGAATTACAAGAAAATAATATTTTCCTTTTAAAAGCTGGAAAATAAGCCGACACTGACATCTAGTGGCAGAACAGAGTATAGAACTATAGCTGTCCTGCCTCAGAAATTGGCAAGACATCCAGAAACAGAGTAATTTTATCCCTTTGATCCTCAAGGACTCCTAGCTAAACAGAGAACAGCTGGGAATAGAAGAAAGAAAACACACTGGGCTATCTATTGCAGAATAAGAAATACAATTGTTTATAAAAACTGCTGACCTTCTTGGATTATAAATACTTACTGAGCTGTGATATTTAAGTTTAAGAATAGTCTGCAGAGAAAGAAAAACTTTGACCTTTTGGCTATTCTTCTAGGGGGGAAATTACTGGATTGTTTTTAAATGACTGAACATTTTGGATTGTTTATAAAGATAAGAAATATAAAAGACTATAGTGTTTGGAATTTAAGACTGGTTGGTTTGATGAAAATGGAGGTTGCGTATACAACTAAAAGTGGTAAGAAACCACATGCAATATTCTTTTCTAAAATCCCCAGTCTGGAACATCAGAGATCTGCAGGAGAAATACTTCAAGATAAGACAAATATTTTCCAGGAGGAAATGTACACTTGCAACTAATTCAAACGACAATGGCTTTAAATCATAATGTGATTAAAAATAACTTTGATGATATAAATAAACACATTTTTGACCTAAGCTTACAATTAAAAAATTCTGAGAAAATGGTGGCTACAAATGAAGAAAACCACAAGTTAACACAGACAAAGAAAATTTTACAAGGTTTTGCTATAATATTGGAATATTGTTCATTTTTCAGAACAACAAAACAAACCTGAAGACAAGAAAGAAGATTTGATAAAATGGACAATAGAGCTGTCAGGAGAACTACTAGAGTCTGGGAGACAAAAAAATGGAAGGAGAAATTGAGGGAGAAGAAAAGTGGAGGCTTCTTAACAAGTATAAATGGGTGAAATTCCCCCTCAAAAGCACCTTACTCAATTTGTTTTTCCCATTTCTAACAAAACCTATAAAAATACAGGAAGAATCATATGGTAAGCTGAATACACTAACTTGGAAAGCTTCTAGGCAAGAGAAGAAGGCGAGAGCCAGACTCAAGAGAGATGATTTGACTTACCAGATAGAGTACTACATGACAAAAACACTTGTTTGAATATGGTTAAAAGAATAGTTAAATTTTGGATACGAATGGGTTCTATAGTAAGAGAGATGTGATTTATAAGTAGTATAGTATTGCTTTATGACATGAGAAATATAAAAATAATGAGATTATTTAAATGAATGAAATGTTTTGGATATTCAAATGTAATCAACTTGGAGAAAATTATAACTGATAAGAAATGTTTTGAATACTGAAGGGGAACCCAAGCTTAAATAAGAACAGACGAGAACCGGACTTAAGAGAGATGACTTGACATACCAGGTAGAGTATCATATGACCAAGCATTTGTTTAAATATGGTTAAAAGAATAGTTAAATTTTGGAAATGAAGAGGTTTTACAGTAAGAAAAATGTGATTCATAAGTAGGAGAGAATTTTCTTTGTTTTTTCTTTCTTTTTTATGATATGGGAAATGTAAAAATATTGGAATGCTTTAAACATATGAAATATTCTTATTCTTATTCTATTCTTATTCTATTCTTATTCCTTTCCCTATTCTATTCTATTCTATTCTATTCTATTCTATTCTATTCTATTCTTATTCCTTTCCATATTCTATTCCTTTCCATATTCTATTCTATTCTATTCTATTCTATTCTATTCTATTCAGAAAAAACAAAATCCAGTTGCCTTTTGAAAAAGCACTTTAGGACTTGGTCTTGACCATTTTTGTTGTTGTTGTTTAAAATGGAACAATTTTTAGATTCTGGGTGTAATTGTTGTACCATTATTATTTTGGATGATTATTTTGTAAACTCAAGGGATCATGTTGTTATTCTGAAGGACGAGGGGGGACATGATAGCAGTGTTCCAATATCTCAGGGGCTGCCACAAAGAAGAGGGAGTCAAGCTATTTTCCAAAGCGCCTGAAGGCAGGACAAGAAGCAATGGATGGAAACTAATCAAGGAGAGAAGCAACCTAGAACTAAGGAGAAACTTCATGACAGTTAGAACAATTAACCAGTGGAACAACCTGCCTCCAGAAGCGGTGAATACTCCAACACTGGAAGTTTTTAAGAAGAAACTGGACAGCCATTTGTCCGAAATGGTATAGGGTTTCCTGCCTGAGCAGGGGGTTGGACTAGATGACCTCCAAGGTCCCTTCCAACTTTGTCATCATCATCATCATCATCATTATTATTATTATTATTATTATTATTATTATTATTAGTATTATTATTAGTATTAGTATTATTACTGCTTCCTAGAGTCACAGCTGCCAGATGGACAGCTATATAAACTGCTTCAATAAGTAAATAAATAATTAATACTCTTACCACAGCTGGCCAGTAGGGATATCTTGGAAGCTTGCACCAAACCATCATCCCCACTTCAAAACAACAAGGCTCTACAATGCATAGAGTTTGGAGAAAGGATTAAAACTGGAATAATACTCTTGCAAGGAATTCCTAGTGAAACTTCTACGGTACTGTTGTTCGGCCTTACATCAGAGAATTGTATAGAGAGCTTGCCACTTTCCCTGGTTTCCACAATGTGCCTTCTGGTTTTGAGGCACTATTTCCTAGCCTTGTTGTTGCTGTTGTTGTTAGTTGCGAAGTCGTGTCCGACCCATCGTGACCCCATGGACAACGTTCCTCCAGGCCTTCCTGTCCTCTACCATCTTCTGGACTCCATTGAAGCTCACGCCTACTGCTTCAATGACTCCATCCAGCCCCCTCATTCTCTGTCGTCCCCTTCTTCTATTGCCCTCCATCTTTCCCAGCTCTTCTCCAGGGAGTCCTTCCTTCTCATTAGGTGGCCAAAGGACTTGAGTTTCAACTTCAGGATCTGGCCTTCTAAAGAGCAGTCGGGGTTGATCTCCTCTAGGACTGACCGGTTTGATTGATCGCCTTGCAGTCCAGGGGAACGTCTCGATGTATGGACTTCATTTTCCAGAATTCTCCTCAGTTGACATGCTGGCTATGGAATTCTGGGATCTGAAGTCCAACATCTGAGAATTGCCAAAAACAAGAACACTGTATTAGGGGAAGGTGCCAATGCTAGATCGGCCTTTCTTAACCTTTCATCCTGGAGGAATACCTGAAATAATGTTCAGGTTTCCAGGAACTCTTGCATAAGCATTATTAGAAATATAGCTAGTGGCTGCATGCACCGCCAAATTAAAAAAAAAAATCGCTAATGCAGTGTTTCTCAACCTTGACAATTTTAAGGCATGTGGACTTCAACTCCCAGAATTCCACAGCCAGCAATTCTGGGAGTTGAAGTCCACATGCCTTAAAATTGTCAAGGTTGAGAAACACTGCCCTAATGACTTTTGGCAATCTCTCATGGAACGCAGGGTTTCATGAAACTCCATTCGAGAAAAAAGCTGTGCTACAGTAACAAGGCAATGCCACTGAATGAAATACAAAGACAAATTTCAATACAGGCAGCCCTCATTTAGCAACCGCTTCCTTTAGTGACCTCCGCAGTTACGATGATGGTGAAAAAATAACTTTGTGTCCCATCCTCACACTTATGGCCTTCACAGATCTGTAACACAAGGGGAAACTGCAGTAAAATCATAAGCGTAGCCAGCCATCCTTTCACTTAATGACCGAGTTGCCGATCCAGCTGTGGTCACTAAGCAAGGACTATCTGTATACATGAAGGGGAATCCACAAAAAGCTGAAAGGGACGTGGGGTTGAAAAGAGGTGAACTCCACGAAGAGCCGAGCATCCGTAGGAAGATTTCAGAAAGGTGGGCTTCTAATAAGCACATTCGTCTCTCTCATTCGCAGAAACCAAATGGGGAAAAAATATGCGCGTATCATGAATGTAATACCTTATTGTGGCTTTCAATTTTTAAAATACATTTGATGCCTTTGAATCCTGGAAATTACCTGGACGAGTCCATGCCTTCTTCTTGGCTAGATTTTCAGAAGCATTTTACCATTATCTATTTTTTCTTTAGGTTCAGAGAGGGGGGGAGGGTTGGTCCAGGGGTAGGCAACCTTGGCTCTTTTATGACTCGTGGACTTCAACTCCCAGAATTCCTGAGCCAGCCATGCTGAGGGGACAGGGAGAGTTTTCCAAGCTGAGCCATGCTGGCTCAGGAATTCTGGGAGTTGAAGTCCACGAGTCATAAAAGAGCCAAGGTTGCCTACCCCTGGCTTTGGTCCAAACTCTTCCCCAGCTGGCTTGGTGGCTAAGGCAGGACTAGAACTCAGTGCCCCAGTTTCTAGCCTGGTGCCTTCACCACTACACCAAATTGGCTCTTGGGTTTCAGAACAGGTCATGTTTCCAGCAGTTTCCCCCAAAAGTTGCAATTCCAGGACTATCGATGTAAAGCGGTGTTTCTCAACCTTTCCTTCACCACAGACCCCCCCTTTAAATACCTTTTGTGACCATGGCCATGGACCCCCCCAGACTTAATTCAAATTTAAATCATAACATTTTTTTTCAAGCCTTTGCGGACCCCTCTGATGACACCGCGGCCCCTCAGGTTGAGAATCATTGATGGAAAGGAGCAATTATCTTAAATAGGCCAGGGCTTAATTAAGCCAAGAAACTGCCCATTTCAGAAGACTGAAATCCCGCTAATCTTACCATCACTGAACATGACTGAGGATGGGTGTCCGCAGGAGGCTTAAATGAGCCATAAGGGCAACAGCGAGCGAAGTGATGCCCCCTTTTTTTTATTGATGCTGCAACACCCTTGTTGCTGAGCAAGTGAGCAGAAGAGACGAGGCCTTCTCGGAGTGGCCCCAAGCCTTGGTCAACCATCTTTGTGGAGATTCGCGCCCGCCCCCCCCCCCCCCCCCCCCCCCCCCCCCCCCCCCCCCCCCCCCCCCCCCCCCCCCCCCCGTCCCAATCCAAGACAGTATGATTCCTACCAGATATTGTAAGGTTTGGTTCAGCCATTGCTCATCGACTGTGTTGGTTTGGAGATAAAAATATTTTGAAGAGAGCAGCAGGGCAAAAGTAGTAACTACCTTGATGCAGGAAGATGCTGGGTAATTCTTCCTCCTCCTCCTCCTCTTCATCCTTTGACTCTGGGCTTGGACTCACTTTTCTTACAGGACTCAGCTGCAGTGAAAGATCAGATGCCTGATCTGCTAATGAAGGAATACCGTGCTGATTTCAGTTTTTACACATACAGCATTGGAATTTGCACTGACAAATCTCAGAGATGGGCCCGGGAGACACAGCACAATGAGGACATGCAGGCAATCCTCGACTTATGACTGCGATGGAGCCCGGAGTTACGGTCTAAATCCTGCGGATTGTTAATGGCAATAGCGCTTAAGATTTATATACCGCTTCACAGGGCTGTACAGCCCTCTCTAAGCGGTTTACAGAGTCAGCCTGTTGCCCGCAACCATCTGGGTCCTCATTTTACCCACCTCGGCAGGATGGAAGGCTGAGTCAATTTACCTTGAGGTGGTCAGGATCGAACTGCTGGCAGCCGGCAGTCAGCAGAAGTAGCCTGCAGTACTGCATTCTAACCACTGCGCCACTGTACCAAATTATACTACCTTTTTCATGCTGATCGTTAAGCGATTCCATTGTCTGCAATTGTCTTTTTTTTTTTTTTTTGGCCAGAAACTGGAAGTAAACACCTGGCAAAAAAAAAAAAAACCATTGTAAATCACATTCACGTGACCCTGGGACACCGCAAACGGCTGTAAATGCGGGCAGGTTGCCGAGTGCTCAAAATAGGATCGTGTGACTGTAGACCCAAAGGAGACGGAGGACCTTGGGACGTCAATCCAGGTTGTGAGTAACCCTGGGGAGATCCATTGCAACCTCAAACAGTTGCAAAGCCACCGGTCATAAGTCTGCAATCAAGTTTTACCTTTTAAACCAGACATTTCAGATCTGTTTGGGTTTTGTTCTAGTTGCTCCCAAAATATACAGGGGGAGTTTTGGGCAGAGAAAATTCTTTTTCATTGGTTCGAGACAAGCCAGCACAAATATCCCAGGCAAAAGGGATTTTTTTTGGGGGGGGGGCATCTCCCCCCCCCCGCACACCTCTCCCAATACAGTTAGTCCTTGACTTATGGCCACAAGTGAGCCCAAAATTTACCTTGCCAACCGAGACAGTTAAGTGAGTTTTGCCCCATTTTATGACCTTTCTCGCCACAGTTGTTAAGTGAATCACTGCAGCTGTTAAGTGAATCTGGCTTTGCTCTGTCAGAAGGTTGCAAAAGGTGATCACATGCCCCTGGAAGCATATATGGTTAAAAAATATAATATTTTTGCTTTTTTTTTCCATAATAGAATCCATTTCCAGTTCGTGGGTACACTTACACATGGTACTTATTTGGTAAATTAAAAACCAGTTCATGGTTTTCATTTGATTATGATGTTATCCATTCAGTCGTGTCTGACTCCTGGCGATGGTATGGGTCAGCTCTCCCTCCATCTTGCGATCTTGCACTATTTCTTTGAGTTTTTCTATGTTCCGGCTGGTGTCAGCTTTGATGGCGTCTGGCCACTGTGTTCTTTTGCGTTTCCTTTTATTGCTAACTTTCCCAAGCCTAATTGCTTTTTTCCAGTGAATTCCCCCCACGTGACCCGGCCAAAATAAGCGAGATGCAGTTTTGTGATTTTCGCCTTCCAGTGACATGTCTGGTGTTATGCGTTCCAGTAGTCGCTTTGCTATCCAAGGAGGATTTCATTTACAACCCTGATTTTCTCCCCAATTTTTACAACATTTCTGCATGGATTATTTCAAATCAAATGCCGCTTCTTAATTTGGTATACAGGTAAGTACTTGATTAACGGCCACCAGTTCAGCAACTGTACAAAGTAACAACAGCGCTGAACAGGGGGTGGTTATAACTGGTCCTCAAAGTTCTGATCATCCCAGCACCTCCTTCAGTCATGTAATGGGGAACCTTTTAGAAACTGAGTGCCCAAACTGCAACCCAAAACCCACCTATGTATCGTTGGGTGCTGAGTGGGTGTAGCCCATTGGGTGGGCGTGGCTTCAGTGGTAAGGACAGACTGGGTGGGACTAAAAAGTTCAATCAATCAATTCCATCTTTGCAAGATGTTTTTTTTTCTCACGAGAAGTTGAAATTGATTGATTCATTGAACCTTTTTTTTTTTTTTTGCACACGGCGGCGGAGGCCTAAAGTGAAAAGGTTTTATAAAATCCACTTGAAGGCCTAGGACCGGGGTGACGGCATGAGTGCCCACAGAGAGGGTTCTGCGTGCCACCTGTGGCACGCGTGCCATAGGTTTGCCACCACGGCTATACAGTCATGTAATGGTGATCTGAGCATTTGGCAACTGTACGTTCTCAACTTACGATTGGTTGCTTAGTGACTGCCCAAAGTTATAACAGACCTCTCAAAAGGTACTTATGACCTGGTTCCAAAGTTTGGATGGCCGCTCATTTTGAACACTTGGCAACTGGCCCACATTTATGGCTGTTTGTTGGCATCCCACGGTCACATGACTACGGTTTACGTTTTTGTCAATAACCAGCGTTTACTTCTGCTTTTCGGCAAAACTGCACCATAGCAAACAATGAGTTCCCTTAAAGACCCCTGCAAATAAGGCAATACAATCAGGACAGTCATGTAGGTGACCTGCTTTATGACCGTCACGACTTACAGTACGTCCATAATGGGCAGGCTCCATTACGGTTGTATGTTGAGGACCAGCTGTACGAACATCCGGGCTCAAATTCCTCCTCAGACATGAAGTCAGTCACTTTCAGTCAACCTGCCTCACAGGGTTGTCGTTGTAGGGATAGGATGCAGTGAGTTCCCCTTATAGGCCACTGTGAGCCTTCAGTGGGATATAAACTTAAAAAAAAAATAAAATTGGATGAAGCCCAGCTGCATTTAGCCATTGCACCATGCTGGGCTGGGTTTCAATTATGGATTGAAAGCTAAACCACAACGATATGTTCATGCATCAGAGTCAGCTATACACTGCTCCAAAGTCACCTTGAACCGTGAGGTGGGTGGCAATGTCATTAAATAAGTAAATAAAAATAAATGTCGTGGCTTTTTCCCCTTTCTAATCAGTTGTGTCTGATTCTCAGGGACTGCCTGGAAAAGCCCCTACAGTTTTCCTGACAAGGTTTTAAGTGGTTTGCTGTCATTTGCTTCCCAGGACTGAGAGAAAATGACTGGCCCAAGGTCACCCAGCTGACTTTGTGCCTAAGGGGGGGATTGGGACTCACAATCTCTCACTTTCTAGCCTGACGCCTTTAACATGACACCCAAATGGCTCTCTTTTTAACTCATGGCTAGCAAGCCCCAATAGTGCAAGTTGGCGTTGCGTTCCGAATGTGAGCCAGCCGTGTGCTGCAGCTGCCAAAAAAGCCAACACAGTCCTAGACTGCATTAACAGAGAGGTAGAATTAAGATCATGGGAAGTGTTAGTATCGCTTTATGAGGCCTTGGTAAGGCCACACTTGGAATACTGCATCCAGTTTTGGTCGCCACGATATGAACAAAATGTTGAGACTCTACAGAGAGTGCAGAGAAGAGCAACCAAGATGATTAGGGGACTGGAGGCTAAAACATATAAAGAACGGTTGCAGGAATTGGGTATGTCCATTTTAATAAAAAGAAGGACTAGGGATGAAATCGTAATAGTGTTCCAGTATCTCAGGGGCTGCCACAAAGAAGAGGGAGTCAAGCTATTCTCCAAAGCACCTGAAGGCAGGACAAGAAGCAACGGATAGAAACTAATCAAGGAGAAAATCAACTTAGAACTAAGGAGAAATTTCCTGACAGTTAGAACAATTAATCAGTGGACCAGCTTGACTTCAGAAGTTATACAGAGGATTTTAAGAAGAGATTGGACAATCATTTGTCTGAAATGGTATAGGGTCTCCTGCTTGAGCAAGGGGTTGGACTAGAGGACCTTTCAGGTCCCTTCCAACTCTCTTGTTATTCTGTTATAAACCCACACCTGTAGGAAGTGACCAGGCTGAGCCCAAAGGAGGGGTCAAACGTGTCATCAGCCATGAGTCCCTTCGCATCTACAAATCCAACCCACCGTGAATTCCTTATTTACCACCAAATTGCTTGAAGTGTTAGTAGTTCAGATTCTTGTAGAGAGCTTAAGCTTGCAATAAATCTTTATATATATGTCATGGTTCCGATTAACGAAACACTTCAAAGAACTTCCAGGCATTGTTTATCCTAAAAAGTCTTTAATCGTGTAACAATGTGTCGGCACAGCATGGTGGATTAAAAAGAGGGCTCCCCAAAGAACATTCCTAGTTGGGGAAAAGGTTTATCTGTCGACTAAATATTTACGCCTTAAATTACCCAGTAAGAAATTAGAACCGAAATTCCTGGGGCCTTTCCCCATCGTGAGGATCATCAACCCAGTCACAGTAAAATTAAAACTCCCTAGGCCTGTGGTGGCAAACCTATGGCATGGGTGCCACAGGTGACATGCAGAGCCCTCTCTGTGGGCACGCGCGCCATCGCCCCAGTCCTGGCTTTTATAAAATATTTTCGCTTTAGGCCTCCGCTGCCGTGTGCAAAAACAAAAAAAGGTTCAATCAATCAATCAATTTCAACTTCTCGCAGAAAAAAAAAGATCTCGCAAAGTTGGAATTCATTGATTGAACTTTTTAGTCCCACCCAGTCTGCCGTTACCACCAAAGCCATGCCCACCCAATGGGCCACACCCACCCAATGGGCCACGCCCACCTGATGGGCCACACCCACTCGATGGGCCACGCCCACCAGGCACCCGACGATACATAAGTGGGTTTTGGGTTGCAGTATGGGCACTCAGTATCTAAAAGGTTCGCCATCACTGCCCTAGGCTTTTAAGGAAAATTCACCCTGTCTTCCATTGCAGCTTGTTAAAAGCTTGTCGGCGCTCCACTTTAAGACCTCCCCCTAAGAAGGCACCCGGGCCCCTCGTAGTAGCGGGTCAGACCGACTATGAAGTGAAATGTATTCTTGACTCTAGAATTTTTAAAGGGAAATTGCAGTACCTAGTACAATGGAAGGGGTACTCGCTGTCTGAAGCTACTTGGGTGAAATCTAGTGATGTGAAGGCCGACCGACTCATCAAAAAGTGTCATGAGAAAAACCCCAACAAACCAAGAGATAATCCCTGATATATGCTTTTGTTTACATACAGAATCTATCCCAGTGATGGCGAACTTTTTAGAGACCGAGTGCCCAAACTGCAACCCAAAACCCACTTATGTATCGTTGGGTGCCGGGTGGGCGTGGCCCGTTGAGTGGGCGTGGCTGCGGTGGTAACGGCAGACTGGGTGGGACTAAAAAGTTCAATCAATCAATTCCAACTTTGCGAGATCTTTTTTTTTCCTGCGAGAAGTTGAAATTGATTGATTGAACCTTTTTTTTTTTTTTTTGCACACAGCGGCCGAGGCCTAAAGCGAAAAGGTTTTATAAAACCCAGCTGAAGGCCTAGGACTGGGGTGACGGCGCGCGTGTCCACAGAGAGGGCTCTGAGTGCCACCTTTGGCACCCGTGCCATAGGTTCGCCACCACGGATCTATCCTTTTTGTAAGGGGGGCCGGATGTCAACGCTGCTAACATTGGATGTTCTTGCTTTGAGAATATATGAAGAGGCAGCCACTCTCTCTATAAGTTGTGTGGTATTTTTAGAATTAAATTAGATGATGCTGGGGGGGGGGGAGGAGAAAGAATGTGTGTGGGGATTAGTTAAGACAGTGGTTCTCAACCTGTGGGTCGGGACCCCATTTGGGGTCGATCGACCATTTCATGGGGGTCGCCAAGCAAGGCTGTCCGCCATTTTTTTTGTCTGCCATTTTTTTTGTCTGCCATTTTTTTTACCGCTTTTCCGGCGGGTGCCTTACCTCCCTTGGACTGGGCCAGCTGGTGGTCAGCCTGCTCCGTCTCTGCTGCTTGCCAGCTACGCCTCGGCCGGCGCAGGGGGCGGAACCAAGCATGCGTGGCGCTCCCGGGCAGGGAAAGTCCTCGACTTACAACCGGTTGGTTAGTCCTCGACTTACGACCGGTTTAGTCCTCGACTTACGACCGGTTTAGTCCTCGACTTACGACCGATTTAGTCCTCAACTTACGACCGGTTTAGTCCTCGACTTACGACCGGTTGGGGTCGCAGCATTAAAAAGGTTGAGAACCACTGAGTTAAGATAAGAAACCTACAGAAGGGAAGGGAATCTTTGCCCTTCAAACTAATTGGAGAGCGTGATTTATGACTGCAAATAAGAGGAGGGAAATATGCTGGAATATTATGTGCTCAGGGGAGGGGAATTCAGATCTTGGCATCCACCATGCTGTGCCGACACATTGTTACACGATTAAAGACTTTTTAGGATAAACAATGCCTAAGAGTTTTGTTATTCGGAACCATGATAATATACCTATTTGAACTGCCTGGACCTTCTGATTTCCATGGCGCTTGGCAATACCAGTTCACTGCACTCAAAGACAGCACATGAACCTTCCCTTCATTACTAGCTGTCCCCAACACTCACAGCTTCCCCCCAGCACGTCTTTTGCGGATGGACGTCATCTTACTGTCAACACTGCAAATACTGTATATTCTTGCTTTGACAACATGCAGAGCTGTCTGGCATTTTTATAGTTAAACCAGGCAGAAAGGGGAAAAGAAACCGGAAGTAAATCACATCTTCCAAGTTGATTGGAAGATGTGAACCATGACCCCAAAAAAAGGTGGGAGGGAAATGCTTAGAATTACATGCATAGCGGAAAAGAAGCCAGTCCTAAGCATTTCCTCCATGTTGTACTGATGTATCTGTAACATTAATAAATGCTTTTAGGAGTAAAAATGCCTGAAAGTCCTTTTAAGTGTTTCGTTAATCAGACACATGACACTTACCTTCCTTATCCGCAACTTCTGGAAGACAGCCTCCTTGATCTCCAGCTCCATGTGGGCCAGGCTCTCTTTTCAATTCCCAAGGAGCACGGTTCAGAGAAGGTTCTCTGTAGTCTCCGGGCTCTCCCTCACTCGCGCACTGTGACTTTTCCAGGGAGGGTTCCTGAGTTGCCAGGATGTGCTTTGAGCAAGCGGCTTCCAAGCGCGGGGAGCGCCTGGTGCCGCTGGAGGGCAGCTGCCATTTCTTCCGTGTCAATGCCTCTCGCCTGGCCAGGAGAGCATCTGCTGGCCGGGATGGAAACCCTTTGACGGCGGGCCCCAGCAATCTCCTCCGCAGTTTCGTGGCGGCCTCGTCTCGTCTTCCCTTTGCTGGCGGGAACCTGAAGCAGCACTTGCGAGAAGCAGAGTCCGGGGTGCTGGTTCTCACCGGCCGGTTGGAAGGCGCCTTCTTGCCAGACGGACCGCTGACTTGCTGATGCTCCTTGGAGGCCAGGGAAGACCTCTGGGTGGGTTGGAGTGGTGCTGCAAGACTTTGTGAGATGTTTGGCTTTAGGGCTTCCAAAACCCTGCCGGCCTCCCAGGCTGGGTTCCTGACACCTGATGCAGATGAAGGAAGTTTGCAGGTAGACAGGTTCTTGGTCCTCGACTTCAAAGGTCTCAAGGATGTGGCTGGAGAATCTGGAAGGGTCCCGCTTGCCTCCACCCTCTTTGTCCCACGGGGGCTTCTTCGGGGAGAAAGCGGTCCCTGGGGGGCTGAGGAGGGTTCTCGCTGTCCTTTCCCACTTGACGCCTCTTCACTCCTTCGGCTAAAAGAATCGGGACCTTTAGGAGCTACCTGTTCCTTCATGATCTCCAGCGATTCTCGCAAGGCTCGGCGATAAGTCAACTCTTCTACAACCTTCTGGGTTTCATTGCTCGGACCTGGGAAGGGAGTCAGTGGTGATCAGCGAGGGGGTTTACTTATTATCTATCTATTGTCTATTGGTGGTTAAATCTGATTAACCGTAGTTTCAATAGTTCCATAGGTTTAACCATAGTTTCAATTGGGAAAATGTGACCATCCTAGACCAGACCAAGTCCAAAAAAATGCCAGGGAATTTCTAGAAGCCTGGCACTCTGACCAATTAGCCATCAATAGACACATAGACATTAACAACATCTATAGACTTATGCAGGGGGTTTCAAACATGGCCCTTTTATGATTTGTGGACTTCAACTCCCAGAATCCCTCAGCCAGTGTGTCTGGCTGAGGGATTCTGGGAGTTGAAGTCCACAAGTCATAAAAGGGCCAAGTTTGAAGACCCCTGTACTATGCAAAAGAGACAATCAACCAGCCCAAAAGGGAACAAAAAGCACTAGCACCCAGATCAGCATAGATTATCTGTCAGGTCACCTTGAGACCAACAAACAAGTAAGCAATACCCCAATCAAGAAACTGCCAAAGAGCCATTAGTAAAAAGCCCTATTGAAGAATCTCCTAAGACTGCCCCCACCCACACAGACAGGCAAGACACCAGAATATAAACTGACAGCAAACAGCACTCCTTACTAGCACTGATGATGTTACCTAGTTAGGGTAATGAAACATCTGCAAGAAAACAAGCAAGCTCAGAGAGCACCAAGGACTCCTCAACCAACACGTTGAATTGCACCCGGAAGCAAACTGGCAGCAAGAGCAGTTTGTGAAACATCGGTGTAACAGGGCCACCTTACAGGCCCCAAGGACTGTCCGTGTGCCTGCATTCTGCACCAGTTGTAGCTTTTGAATACTCTTCAAGGGTAGCTCCATGCAGAGCGTGTTGCCATAGTCCAGGAGAGAGATGATCCAGGTTTGAATGACTGAGCGCTCGAACTCCTGATCCAGGAAGGGGAGGCTGCACCGTAGGTCAACAATTTTTGAACCAAAGTACCTCAAATGGGCTAACTTACAGAATGAGCCCGAAATCTGGAAGCCATGACTTTGATGGAATTGAAATATGGCCAATTTTAGGAAACATTTGATGACATAAAAATGATCACACCACATTTTATGACATAATATAAAATGTCATAAAATATTTCCTGGGGTCAACTGCAGGATAATTTATAGTTTCCTTTTACACCAGCCTGACCCCCATCCTTGGAAGGCTTTCCCTTAAGTTCCCAAATGGGAAACAGAGAGCAACTGGGGGGAAAGGGGAAAGGCTTTATAGTTAATCTGTGGAATTCCCTGCCGCTGAAGGGCAAGTTAGTACTCACTTGGTTCCCCCCCGCCCCAACCACTGGTTAAACCTCCATCTTTAGGAAAGTGTAAAAACCTCCAGCATTTTACAGAGACGTATTTGAAGAAATATATTTCCTGATGTATCATCCTAACCTTATTGCATAATCTTGTCACCATTTTGAATCTTGTAGTATCTATCTATTCATCCATCCATCCATCCATATATATCTCTATTCATCCATCATCTATCTATCTATCTATCTATCTATCTATCTATCTATCTATCTATCTATCTATCCATCCATCCATCCATCCATCCATCCATCCATCCATCCATCCATCCATCCATCCATCTATCTATCTATCTATCTATCTATCTATCTATCTATCTATCTATCTATCTATCTGTCTGTCCATCATCTATCTATTTATCTATCTATTTATCCATCCATCCATCCATCCATGATCCTTCCATGTCTTTCTTTGCCTGTCTCCATCCGTCTCTCTCTGTGTATATCTATCTATCCATTATTGTCTCTTTCTGTCTCCATCCATATATATCTCTCTCTGTCTAGCTCTCTCTTTCTATCTTTGTCTGTCTGTCTGTCTGTCTGTCTGTCTGTCTGTCTGTCTGTCTGTCTGTCTGTCTGTCTATCTATCTATCTATCTATCTATCTATCTATCTATCTATCTATCTATCTATCTATCTGTAAAACTACCCATCCCCCTCACAGAGGCAATCTAGGTGGTGTACAGATAAAATATTAAAAACCGAAAAAAAATAAAAAAAAGAGGCAAGAGATGTTAAAAATTAATTAAACCGTGTGGGGAGGGCTTTCAGGGCGCTAACCTGCCCCACAGCGGCTGTTTCTTGGTAACGCCTCAAGCAAGACCCAGAACCATATTTCCACAGCCTTCCAGAAGGCCAGGAGAGAGGAGGCCTACCTCACCTCCAGCAGGGGAGGGAGTGAAAAAATGTCCACAGGGCAGGGAGCAACAACCTTTGCACTGGTTTCTACCCTGGCTGGGGAATTCTGGGAGTTGTAGTACACACCAACTAGTCAAGCTTGAGAGGGTTGAAAAACACTGGGTGTAGGGAAGAGATGTGGGAAAAAATGTGTTTGCTATTAATCCCTCAGAACAACTTGCTTTTTTAATTTTGTGGTTTCCTTTTCCTGTTTTTTTATCTTGTGAAGCTGCTCAGAGTCCTTTTTGGAGTTGGGCAGCCTAGAAACTGAATAAATTAAGGAGAAAAATGCAGGAAGGCTTATAAAAGGAAGCACGTGACCCCTAATCAACCAGAAGAATTCACTAGCTGAAGATATGGCCCTGCCAGGAATCTGGATAGTGATAAAAATGTACAAAGGGACCTCCAGTCAATGCTGGAAACGTGAAAACAAAATATGAAGGGACATTTTATCACACATGGAGGGCTTGTGAGAAAGCCAAGAAACTTTGGATATAAATACACCAACAATACAAAGGATTTTAAAGATTCATATTGTAACAAAAAGAACACCCTGGAACTTTTTTTTATTGGGACTTATGGATACTAAATTATAAAAGACTCACAAAAGATTAATTTTGTGTATGGAAGAGTAGTGAAATTCGCACAATGCAGGAACAGATTGTTAAAATTTTAGAAATTGGGCAGGGAGAAAACAACAAGTGCTTTTTTTAAAACAAACCTAGAAAGGCTTTTTTGCTAAAGGAAGCCAAAATATTAATATGGATTTATTAATTGAAACATATAAGAATTAAATAAGGGGTTGAAGGGATGTCTGGAAGAGTTAAGAGGGAGGAGATATGCTAGGTTCGTTAATAACTGTGAAAGAGAAAATCAGAAATCATTATATTTCATAACTTTAGATGTTTTTTCTTGCACTTCTTTCTTTCCTCTTTTTTTCTTTTCCCTCTTTTTCTTTAGATTTCCTTTTTACTTTATGTAAAATTCTCAATAAATACCAATAAATAAAAGAATTTGGATGACTATCAAAGAAGTAGAATAAATGTATGAGGGAGAGCAGATCAGTCAAGAGCTTAGAGTCACCTTGAATCACAAGATGGGCAGCAAATAAATTTGATAATAATAATAATAATTATCCATCTGGTGGTTCAAATGTCAAATCCAGTCTGGCCATCTGGCTGACTGTGCAATGAATCAAAATAATAACAACCATTATTATTGGTCAAATGCAAAAGGCAACTTTTGGAATAGCTGACACCCTGCAATGATATTTATAACACCATCAAAGATCAACATCTGCCTATCTCAGGTCTTTGGGAAGGACTTGACAGGTGGATAAAAATGCCAAATACAGTCTGAACATCTGGCTGATTGTGCAACAAACCATAATAATATTGATCCTGAAGATTCAAAATGATCCCCAAGCTTGCAAACCCCAGTAGGCTTGCAAATGCCAGTTGCATAAGAAGAACAGGGAGAATATTTGTCCGAAATGGTATAGGGTTTCCTGCCTGAGCAGGGGGTTGGACTAGATGACCTCCAAGGTCCCTTCCAACTTTACCATTATTATTATTATTATTATTATTATTATTAAAGTTTCATCTCCTGCTTAGGAGTAACTTCGGTCTCAGCCCTAGTCTCCTCATAGGTTGGTTGTGGGAAAATAGGTAGAGGGAGTATTAAGTACACTCCCTTGAACTGTACAGGTAGGCCTCAACTTACGACCTCAACTGAGCCCAAAATTTCTGTTGCTAAGTGAGACAATTAAGTGAATTTTGCCTCATTTTACAACCTTTCTTGCCACAGGTGTTAACTGAATCACTGCAGTTGTTAAGTTACTAACACAGTTGTTACGTGAATCGGGCTTCCCCACTGACTTTGCTT